GCCATGAGCACGATCCACGTCGAGTCCGGGTACGAGTCGGGGAAGAGCACCGTGAGGAGCGAGCCGCCGAGCACCAAAAACGCAATCGGCACGAGGAGGCACACGGCCATTTGCGAAATCACGGCCATCCAGCGACCGAGGCCGCCCATGCACCACTCGCCCATGTCGCCAAACGTCTTGACGTTCTTGGGCGCCACCATCATGACCTTGGAGATGCACACCGTCGCGTACGTGTTGACGGTCGCCATGAAGATGAGCGCGATCGTCGCCCAGACGTAGCCGGCGCGGGCGTAGTTGCCCGGCATACCCAGCGTGCCAATGCCGTAGACGACGCAGAAGAGCGAGAAGCACATCTTCATGTCTTCGCCAGTGAGAAACGCCATCCTGAGCTTGAGCAGAGCGAGGCGAATTGGTTAATGATCAGACTGCTGACGCCGGCGTACACGTGCAAGAGCAACGTCTGAGTCGTTGCGGGCAAGCCGTGCCACGTGGTGGCGCGGATGTTTGGCCATATCGTGGGTATGCATCCGGATTCGGCCAATCGGCGGGCGACCTTGCAGTGGCACCTATCCCTAACGACGTTTGATTGGCTGAATCACCTTTTCACAGCCCAAATTGAAGTTGACCACATGCAGATACCACATGCCAAGTCGCTTGTTGTCGAAGCATCGTGGCCCGATTTATGAACCAAAGGTGATTTGTGTGCACTGTTGCTCGCTGCACTTTACAGCGGACAGGCCCGAGCATGATTAGTCCGGTGACTCTGTTTGTCTCAATGATTTAATATCCTGAACACAAAACGTTGTGTTTAGAAAGGGCTGCATCGAGGACTTCAGGACTTCTGGTTTGCCAATATTGAATGGATCGCGAGTATCTTTCGAACGATCGAATAGACTCGACTATAGATGCAAGGATGTACCCATGGTCCTGTTTTCTCGAGTGAATTTCGCTTCGAAGAAATGGAAGGATCCGAAAATGGGTGCCACGAGGGTGCGTCGCCCCATGCACTGGCCTCTATCCATCAAGTGCTATGGTGTACAGTAATGTTTTTTGTATAGAGACACGGTCCGTAGATCCGGTGGCCCATCACGGTACAACATACGCCATTCTTGTCGGCGTAATTGTTGAAGCTTGTTCGGTCATGTGAGCGAGTGGCGTGGTCGTCAAAGGTGCGACGCCAAAAGACTTTCTGATCAAAATATGTCAGTAACCAAACACATGTTTCGAAAGCTCATCATTGCTGATGTTTACGTGGTGAGCCATCCAATCTTTGGACTCTGCGACGGCTTTGGATATAAAAGAACCATGAAGCCGCACCAAAACCCGATATTGAAGCTCCCAAGCTCCTTTGTACCCCCACAATACAAGGATATTTAAATCTAGAGGATACACGTTGACGAGTTTGATTTCTACCTACAAATCCAAGGTTGGCCCAGTACGGAAATAAAGCTGTACTAGTACATGGGCCGCTTAGCCGTCCACTTGAAATTTCGCGAGAACTTACCCGCGCACAAGCAGCCACGAAGTCCTAAACTCGTCCAACAGGCGATCTGATCGGCGGCATCTCGTACATCCTATCGGACGAGATATCATGACTGCACCTGGCTTCCGGGGAAGACTTGAGTCGACAAGAACGTCTTACGACAATACCTTCAATCTCGTGGTTCGTCATGTCTACTTGTGGCTGTAGTTGAACGGCGCCAACGCGGCTCGAATTCTACTTGTGCTCACTTATGGTCATCAAAGTCCCTGTATCATGTCGGTGTTATGGGCTGGTCGTAGAGCACTGGTACACCGGAGCCGTAGACGATAACACCGTTGCTCCCAATGTGTATCAATGTCATTGACGGGCTTTCATCCCGTGATGCCTTGAAGCGCGGAGGGCACCACCAAATCCAACCATGCGCGGCAACGGTATCATGACGTCATGATGCATCCAAGGGCTGTCTTCAGGAAGCATACATACAAGTAGCCACCGTGGTAACATTGATGTCCACGCAAACGCCGATCCTTTGGCACGCGAAAGGCGACCGCGGCGTCACGGGCAACCAACTATCTTATTAGCGTGACCAATTCAGGCGTCTAAAAAATCTGTCGTGCTGAGTCATTTCGACATCGTAGCGGGCTGTTCTCGCTGCGTGGGAGCGTGCAGCTGCGCATCTAAGTCGTTTGTATGTGTACCTCTATCCGTTCTTAGAGCTTATCCGGTGGACAATCACCGATGACTGCGCTGCCGCCGAGAACTCTGGACGCCCAGTTGCATCGGCGCTCCAACGCGCGTTCCCGAGCCAAAAAAACACGGTCCTCGGGTTCTTCAGATATAGATTCTGTACCGGTAAACCCACGGCCGCGCCCAACGATCGGGTAAAAGTTGCTGCTTCTGATTTCGACCGCCGACTTTGACAACAAGCGACTTGGCATGTGGTATCTGCATGTGGTCAACTTCAATCAAGGGAATATTCCCTTGACTTCAATTTGCGCTGTGAAAAGGTGATGCAGCCAATCAAACGTCGTTAGGGATAGGTGCCACTGCAAGGTCGCCCGCCGATTGGCCGAATCCGGATGCATACCCACGATATGGCCAAACATCCGCGCCACCACGTGGCACGGCTT